CTCTTTATTGTCAAGCCACATCTTCACAAGTGGTTCATGAGACCCTGGGTAGCACTGACCCTCACCATTGCTATATGGATACTGTCTGCTGTATTAGCTACTGGGCCATTCCTTGATATTGGACACTACAGTTATGTTGATGAGTTAGGTTTTTGTAGTTTAGTTGGTGTTGACATTGCAGCCTTTGTTGTAATTCTTGTTATAATCTTCCTTATTGTTGGAACAATATTTGTCACTTCTCTTTGGACCTTTTGTTTCACTAAAAGCTACTTCAAAGCTCAGTCAGTGATAACAGGAGAGAGTGTGTATGCCTCAAAGAAGAAGAGACTCTTTGGAATATTTGGAAGCATGCTACTCATCTATGGAACAGGTTATTTAATAGCAGCTTTAGGCTTCCTTCTGCAGATCTTCATTTTTCTACCATATGAGTTTTATATGACAAGCTACATTGTTTCTTGCTTTGTTACTGTAGCCAGTGCTATTATCCAGTCATACTTCAGGCCTGAGATCAAGAGTGTTCTAGTCTCACGCTGTCCTCTTCTCTTTACTTGTGTTTGCTGTTCATGTGTACATGCTGTTTGCTGATGTTAGTTATTTGTAGCACATGTTTAATTTGCTGTAGTATATTGAGAATTAAGTAATTTTGTTTAATTTTTGTTATCAATTTTTCTCTATGTTTAACTTATTAACTTAACTTAATGCATTCCAAGCAATGTATTACCAGCAAAAATTGCATACAATATTGTTGTTAGCAATAACCATCATACACAAGGCACCAGTTTGAAGATATGGGAGTGTGATATGGGTGTTTCAGAGGTGTGGTTGTTAAAAAATGGCAGCTAAACATAGATTGCCGGCTTCTTTAGCTGTTTTGTTAGTTGCCGTTTTGAGAAAGGAGCAAAAGAGAAGGAGAAAAATAGATGTGTATAACATGTGAGTGGATTCTGAATTGTGATTTTAAAAACATATATAACCATTTGCTATGGAACTTGAGTTAAGATACCTCCAGTTATCAGAACTTTATTAGGATGAATGCTGCCACATTTGAAGAATTGCTACGCATTGTTGCTCTTAAAATTACATATAGAGATACAGTAATGAGGCAAGCCGTATCACGTGGAGAACGACTAGCTGTAACCTTGCGTTTTCTGACTACACATATTATAGGCTACATGTAAACTTTAATTTGCATCTAATGTTACTGATATCTACTATTGGGGAAACATTTGAAAGCCTAAAACACTGCTACTAGCTATTGTGGATACTTCATCTGTGTTGACATTGGTTGCAAAAGTCTTACTCAGATAGGGAGTGTTTAAGAATTGTAACCTATACTCTATGCCTGAAGAAAATAAAATAAAGATTTCTGAGCCTAACAATTTGCCTGGAACTACTATAAGATGTCCCTATCATATCGTTGCAGATGATGCCTTTCCTCTCAAAGAATACATCATGAAACCATGCAGTCAAATTGGTTTGACAAGATACAGGTGAATATTTAATTATCATTTGAGCTGCGCTCTACGCATGGTAGAAAACACGTTTGGAATTCTCTTCAATTGTTTTAGAGTGTTAATGACACCAATGACCTTAGTTCCAGAGAAAGTGGAAGTTATAACTATGGTCTGATGCTGTCTTCATGATTTCTTGAGGTCAAGAAAGGGAGCAAATGATGTTTTTATGCCACCTGGGTCAGTTGACAACACAGAAGATCCTATGACTCACAAGATTCAACCAGGAGATTGTCATCAAACTCAATTGACTAGTTTCGTACCATGTCAGCTATTTTAACAGTGATTTGATTCTGATATCACCTACATGTATATTGTTGTTTTAGTGGTGCCTTTGATCTTCTGAAATAGATATTGCTTCTATTTCAGGCAATAGATTGCAGGCAACAAATTGGAAGCAACTAAATTACATACACTGCACAATACTGTTGCCTAAAATCATTGTAGGCAATCGTTGCCTCAAAATTGCCTCATGTATAGTGGCCTTAAAGCCCTCCATACACTGGGCAACATGTTGCTAGCAACTTCCGTGGTCACTTTGATCTTGTGTCTAAGAATAGAATTCTGTTCTATTTTTGGAACAAGATGATTACAAGATCAAAGTAACCACAGAAGTTGCTAGCAACATGTTGCCTAGTGTATGGAGGCCTTAATGATGTAACAGTAAATTAACATTATTGATTATTATTGTATTATTATTATTGTACATGTATTTGGTAGATTCTAGAACATTCATGTGGACTTTCTGTACACTTCTAGGCAATTCATTTTTGTAATCACTCTGTATGTTTCTAGACTGTTCTCTGTACTATATAAGGCATTCTCTCTTTCGTTATTGTTAGTTCTTTGTTAATCATTGTCAATTCGATTATTACAACAGGTTATGAGCCCA